ATATGACGTAGCCATAAAGTGTGATGATGTGGGAAAATGTGAATAAATTTATTCCTAAGAGTGCCTAAATATCAGAGTGCACTGGTGAGCAGGAATGAACTCACTTCACACGTGACGTTAGAGCACAAGCAAATACATTAGAGTGAATTAAGAATTGTACCCTCGAAATAATCTCCAATACTAAGAATCGTCACGAATCTTCGACGATAAGAAAGCTCAACTGATAAAACCTGGAGGGTGAAGACAAGACAAGGGTGAGTGACCCTGTAAATACAATTTTAATAGAAATCATATAAAACATTATAACCCCTCGCCACAACACCTGTATAATTTCCAGAAAAATCATAAACATATCATAACACAGCATCTCATCAGCAATATCAAATAATCATGTGATTAATAACTCATACTAGCACGCAAGTCGGAGTCACATATAGTGACATGTACAACTTACCCATATCTCATCACATGTACTAGTTCATCACATATTTCATCATATATGCTAGCTTATCACATATTTCATCACATATGCTAGCTTATCACATATCTCATCACATATGCTAGCTCATCACATATTCATCATATATGCTAGCTCATCACATATTCATCCTATATGCTAGCACATCACATATTCATCACATATGCTAGCTCATAAGTCGGAGTCACCTCTGGTGACCTGTACGACCTATCAATAGCTCAATAAGTATACCTGCACACGAGTCGAGACCACCTAAAGTGGTCTGTAGGACAGGACTGGGTGTAAATAAATATGTTCAAGTGCTACGATCACGTGAAAACTGTGTGAATAATCACGGGTCACCTACAAGTCTGAACCACCTATAGTGGTCTGTACGATAGGCATGTGCACTTACCTTGGATCCAAGGTGAGCATCAGGTGCGGGAGGTGAACATCACGTGAAGGCCTGTGCCCTGGCCATGAACGAGAGCACTAACATAGGGGTGCAGGTTTATGAGCTCTCAATGTATCTCAATATAACATATACGACTCATGGGCAACCCGTACGACAATGTCGGAGTTGCTTAAAACATGCATGTAGTCATGCCATAACTCCATAATTTCAACTAATACCATAAACTTACCTGAACTTACCTGGGTGTCCTACGTTCACTTTTGCACTTCAAACGTTCACAATAATTATGTGCAGGTAATATACATATAAATAAACCATGATGCAATCTGATACTCAAACATGTCATAGCATTATCAATTATATACATCCATATATATATATATATATATATATATATATATATATATAATATGGCATAAAATGTATAAGTTGTAACGTCCTGCTCTCGAACTATTTATTTTCGGATAGTTTATTTAACTATCATTACTTACGTTTCCTTACTTCAAATTCTTGATTCTTCACACATTGATTTATGACCAACAATTAAGCCCCAAGTAGTAAGGTTAACTCTCACACTTTCCACCAATGTCCCTCACATTACTCAATTCCCTAACAAGACTATTACCTCAATTATTTAGTTTCACTTCTTGTATGACTGCATCTAACGTCTCGTTAGACTGCCTACGTACCCTAAATAGGGATCAAGTCATTCGTAGTTCACAATAGTATTTCAAAGCATTCACAATAATCATAAGCAATAATCAATTCATAAACATTTATGGAATTGTCAATCATATATATATAATACACGATAGAATGGAAAATACCCACTCACCTGAGATCCGCGCTACGACTCCCTAGCACACATATCGAGACGTCATGAACCATTGTCGCCTATGACCAATTATCAAATCACATTCCAGAGTTCTGACCGATAAAAATACATAATTTAAATAAAACACACCCCTAAGATTTGATCCGGAAGATCCGCATTACGAATTTCCAATCTGTTAATTCCAAAGATACACATTATGCTTTTAGAACAATATCGTAAAATTTCATTACGATCCAACAGTCGGATCTCCGCCAATTGCCAAAAACCAAGTGGCGGTCAACATTTCATTTTATGAACTTACAAATCCAATTCGGAAAGATCCGTACATCGGATTCCAGATCCGTAAGTTTCTATCTTCCTTAAATATTATGTACTATAATGTATTAAAGTTTGGTAATGATCTAACGGTCGGATCGTTGATTCACATATTTACCAAGTAACGTATCTTAATGAATTTAGGTCCAAACGATCAACCTACGATATAAAATCACCAAAAATGAACTCAAGACATCTAATTTAGCCTAAGAATAACATCGACGGTCCCCTGGCCACGCGCCGCCGCGGGTGGCGGTTGGCGGTTGGCCGCCCCGACTAGCCGGAAAATCCAACTATTTCAAAAAATTATCAAAATCTACAGAAATGAAGATCTCAATGAGTAAAGTAAATTTTATACATGTGGCCAATTCCAATTTGGCCTAGAAGAGCCCCAATTTTGCTCAAACCCATCGAAAACCCTAGTTTTTGGTGTCCTCAATTCAGCTTCATAGCAACTCTGACGCCCCCAAACTTGTTTGGGCTTTGTTCCTGAGCTTCAAGGGAGTCTATTAGTGATAGTAATTTGATGGAATTGTTTCAGAATTGGGGAATTGAAGACACGGACCCATCGCACCCACCGGTGCGGGTTACACTAAATCAAAACCAATTCCCTAGTATTTTAAGCTGAAATTGGAAGAAGGAGAGTCACTGAGTCGAGTGAAAGAGGTGGCGATGTCCAACTCGCCAGAAAAACGCCGGAATTGGCGTCGGATCTTGGTATCTCGGACCGAGTTACACGGGTCAAAGAGGAGACCCTGTTTCCTTCTCTCTTTTTCCCCTTCCCTACTTTCCCTCCTTTCCCTTCTCACTGGTTGGTCAATTCCTCAGCAGCCCATTTGTCTTCCCTCTCCTGCGATTGGGCAGCAGCCCATCTGTCTTCCCTCTCCCATTCCCCCTTCTTCCTTTTTTTTTCTTCCTCTTTTTCCCTTTTTTATTTTTTTATATATCACTAAATGATAAATAAAATATATACATTAGAAAAAATATATATATATATATATATAAATATATAAATAGTGACCAAACCAAAAGTAATTCTCGGGTTTACAGTTCCGTAATGTCGAGCACTTCAAGAAAACACTAATGGATTAATTCATACACCTCGCTATGTGTTGGTCAACAGAAGTCAAGACCCTCGCCTCTAAGGGCATTTTCATAAATTCACGCTTTTAAAATTAATAAAAATATAAAATTTGGAACGGGTTGTCACATTCATCATATCAGAGCATGTTGTCTTAGTCTGAAGTCGCCGACTACATGCATTCCACGTCACCCATTTTGTGTTGTCCACTTCTTAGACTTGAAAATTCGTCACATGTGAGGGAACGTGTAGAAAATGAATCCAACATTGATGGGAGGAGGGACCTTACATGACTTTATAAGTAAGTTGGCCTAATCCCCATATTGCCAATTAGTTTTATGTTGGAATCCCAACTTTCGTCAAATATTGTAATGTAATAACGTCTAATTATTATATTACAGCTACAAAATTTTATATTATAGCTATATAATTTTATGCCTAGAAAATTGCCTTCTCTTTGTCAAACCATCTCCAACCCTTAGGTTAAAACCTAAATTTTTTTATCCAAAAACTGTTTTTCTACTCTAACCCTTAGACCCACTCCAATCATCCTTGGAGTAAAACTCAAATTTTAAATTTTCTTTTTGTCAAACCATCTCCAACCTTTAGGTTAAAACCTAAAATTTTTAATTAGAAACCGTTTTTCTACTCTAACCCTTAAACCTACTCCAATCCTTGGAGTAAAACTCAAATTTTAGGTTCTAAACTTACCCCAGCTTGCTCCAACCCTTAGGGCAAATATGAGTTAAAACTCGAAACTCATTTCTGGGCCAAATTTAGCCCAGGATTTCCCTTAGGGTTAGAGGGGCTGGCCCACCATATATGTATATTTTTTTAGTTTTATATTTATAAATTTATTGAATCCAACGGTTAAGATCTAATTTGATGAAATCCAATGGTAAAAAATTATCTAACGGTCTAAATTTAAATCCAACGGCTATTAAAAAGAAATTCTTTTATGTGTTTCATATTTTTTTCATAGTGTTACACAAGTTTCATGGTGTCGGTTAGTGATTTTTCAATATTTGTCGGAATCTAAATATTTTTAGGTTAAAATGTTCATAAAATTAAATTAGGATAGTCTACATAATTTTTTTTCTTTTTAAAAAAGTTATTTTAAGAAAAAAAATTAGCCTAAATTCATTCTTTAATAATCTAGGCTAAAATTTTACCCCTAAGGATTGAAACAAAAAAGTTGTTTCTGGGTTAAAACCTAAATTTTTTGGGCTAAAAATTTTAAGTTTTAACCTAAGGGTTGGAGATAGTCTTATGGGTTAAATTTGAGCCTGAGTTTATTAAACAATGAATTTAGGATAATTGTTTTTCTTAAAATAACTTTTAATATATATATATATATATATATATATATTATCCTAATTTAATTTAAAGAACATTGTAACTTAAAAATATTTAGATTCCAATAAATATTGAACAATCACTAAACTGACACTATGAAACTTGTGTAACATTATGAAAGAATATGAAACACATGAAGAATTTGCTTTTTTATTCTTTTAGCCGTTATATTTAAATTTGGACTAGCCCACTAACTGAGGGGAGAATTATGGATTGAATTTTCCCCAAAAAAGGGTTTGGGTTAAAACTCATATTTAGCCCAAGGGTTGGAACAAGCTGGGGTAAGTTTAGAATCTAAAATTTAAGTTTTACTCCAAGATGTGGTAGGTCTCATACATAAATGTTAGCTTTTCTGTGTTATACATATAATGTACGTGTGTGTATATGCATATATTTCAAAGGTTAGACTGGTAGCTACCAACTGTTAAATGTTTTAAACTTGTCACTTTTTGCTTCTGTGGATATCCAGACATGCACGTCAGTGGCCGTATAAGATTTAGTTAGTTCGATCGTATCCATGGCTTTAACGTTATGGCAGACACTCTATTTATACATAATGGTAGCTAGGTAGCTTTCTGGAGTCTTTGAAGTGGCTCGCAGGCAAAAGATAAGCTAAGCTTTGATGCTAGCTAGCAGATAAGAGATGGAGGGATATAACGTTAACTTGAGTGTGATGAGAAAAGGTGCCTGGACTCGAGAGGAAGATGATCTTCTCAGGCGGTGCATAGAGACTCTTGGGGAAGGAAAGTGGCACCAAGTTCCTTACAAAGCGGGTATATATGTTAATGTGTATATTTAACTATGAAAGATGGATATGTGTATTGCCAGTAAAGCATTTCATTAGTGTTACAATCATACAATGTAAGACCTTTTGCTAATTGGTATCAAGAAGTTGAATGTTCTAATTTTTTATTAATACTTTAGAACATGCTAACTGTCTAACGGTCATACCTGCTCTCACCTCACATAATATATGTTGTTTACATATATGGCTAAAGTGACCTCTGCATATGTGAAGAGGGCCATGCCGAGAGACTTAGTCCCTCACATAATTGTTCACGTAGAAAGATGTTGTATGAACTTTGAATTATGTATTCAGGCTTAAACAGGTGCAGGAAGAGCTGCAGACTAAGATGGTTGAACTATCTGAAGCCAAATATCAAGAGAGGAGACTTTACAGAGGATGAAGTAGATCTTATAGTTAGACTTCACAAGCTTTTAGGAAACAGGTACTAATAAATAAATAAATGTCTCTTTCAATTCCTATCGTCCTTATTAAGGACCTTGCATGAGAAGTAAATTGGGCTAGTTTTTATACTACCTATTAGTTTTACAATGGAACTTCAACTTTTTTTTATGGTATCAAAGTACGTGTGAAGCCCAACTGTCACACGTGTTCCACGTTATCCTGTTTGTGTTGTCCACGTATTTGACTTGAAAATTCACCATACATAAGGGGGTGTATTGGAGATGAGTCCCAAATTGATGAGAAGAGAAACCTTGCATTTACTTACAAGTGATTGAAATACTCCTCATATTACCAATTAATTGAACTCATGCTCTAATATTACGTTCGACTCAAATAATGCTTCTTATGGAAGATAAATATTTCTTAATGATTTTTGTTAAGTAAAGTCATTTTCATGCTTTTAATCCCTACTCGACTCAACAAACCTTTAAGATTTTGTATTCGGCCTCATTTGGTATAGAAGCTTGGATTAGAATAGATGAAACTTTATCCATTCAAAGTCTCCACAAAAAGTGTATTAGAAGGGAGAACTTTTCTTCAAGTCTAATCCCTACTTCAACCCCTATGAATAAGAATATACCTTCAACTTTGAGGTAAAATATGAATTACTTATGAAGAAAACTTATTCATTCCTATCTCCTCAAAGTGATAAGATTAGAAAGATGAAGTTTCCTTCATGTCTAATCCCATTCTAATCTCTCAACATGATCTTTTTAGGTTATGTTTGGACGAGAGATTTTCATGTCCCAAGAGATTGAAGCCAAGTTAGTAACAAATAGACGCAAAATGTTAATAGAGGAGTAACACAACATTCAATGAGTTTTTTTAAAGCATATGAGAAGGATTTACAAATTACAATCTAAAAAGCGGACGGTTTGTATAGGGCGCATGATAGACGTACGAAGAGGAAGCTTCTTCAATATTTTTGTTTTTAGGAAAAATAAAGAATTACAAAATCATTGGCTATCTGAATCTTGGTTCTTCAAAAGGATCCAACTAAGAACAAATTCAAAAGAAAGTTTTTACGAGAACGCTAGGAGTAACCATTATGCTGACTCCCTTTCTTAATGCTGAACAAGTTTCTCTGTCATTATCAATGTAGTTTTCAGTAATGAGAAAACTAAAAATAAAAAATTTGTCGTAAAAATAAAATTGGGAAATCTTCGGTGTAAGATATATATAGTCTCTTAAAATATACTAGCATATAGACACACACAAAGTGTGTGAGAACATTTTTTATTTTTGTTTTTTGAAATAGAATGAGAGAGGAAAAGAGTGATAGAGAATGTGGGAGTGAGAAGTTTTTTTTTTTTTTTTTTTTTTTAATAATAATAAGAGATGAAATATGTTAGGATTACATGTAGGTGAGGCTTTAGAAGAAAAAAACAACAAAATTTGGTTGTGTGAAATTACATTTTTGCTCCATATTTCTTATTCATGTTCTGTTTTAATTAGAAGATTAAACTGGTAATTTCATATAATTTTGGTTGACAATGAGTGTTTTATTAATTAGTAGACATTAACCGCCGTGTAGAAACACCCCATTAAACGGTACTTCTCCTGTATCCCTTATTTGGTGCTCGAATAATACAAAATATAGTATAAAAATAGTTAATATTTTTAATCAGATACAAGAGTACCAACACGATCTTTTCCGGATCCTTTTTGGTAAGGATCCTGGGAATTCATGAATCATGTTCATTTATCGTACATTGTGTGATTAATTTTTATCAAGTACTGTTTGTGTTTAATTTTAAATAAAAATTTTAAAATGATTTCTGATCGTACGATGTACAATGAACGAACACGATTCACGAATTCTTGAGATTCTCACAAAAAGGATTCGGCAAGAATCTGGATTCACAACACTAAACACCTGATAGGACAATCAATTGCATGACAAAATAGCCAAGACTAATAATTAACAATTTTTTTTTTGTTAAATAATTAATAAAGTTCAACGTACCAAAGGAATTCAAATAGTTTTTTTTTTATTTCAAGCGTTGTAGGATGATAAATGGTTTGAACTCAATATGCAGTGGTTCAAATAATTATCTTAAGTTATTATATTTTATTTGTTCAAAAAAATGTTATTATATTTTAGAGCTTAAATTAATTCTTTACCAACCTATATTGTTATGTAATAATTACACGCAGAAATGTGATTTTTGTATTAGAATTAGTTCACTACATTAAATTCTAGAGAGAAAAATGTTTATGCACTCTAACATTTTTTTATTTTTTTTATTTTTTTATTTTTGCTTAGTTCATCTTAATTCTCATCCAAATGTAGTCATAAATTTTTTTTTCATGCGTGTAATGTACACAGGTGGTCATTGATTGCTGGAAGACTTCCAGGAAGAACATCGAATGATGTGAAAAATTATTGGAACACTCAATTGCGGATCGATTCTGGCGTGAAAACGATGAAAAATAAATTCCAAGAAACGAGGAAGACCATAGCGATAAGACCTCAACCCCAGAAATTCATCCAAGGTTCATATTACTTGAACAGTAAAGAACCAATTCTGGACCACATTCAAGCAGCAGAAGATTTAAGTACGCTACCACAAACGTCGTCATCGACAAAGAATGGAAATGATTGGTGGAAAACCTTGTTAGAAGACGAGGATGCTTTTGAAAGAATTGCATGTCCCAGCCTTGAGTTAGAGGAAGAACACTTCAGTTGATGATATGCAACAGTCGTCAAGATCATGTGTCACTTTTCCTGAAGTAGGACAAAATAGAGGTGATTTCTCCTTTTACATGGACCTTTGGAATCATTCAAAAGAAGAATAGCTAGAGAAAATGGTTCCACTTCTTTAGTATCATCAAGCTTGCTTACTATTATTTTCTTTGCTCGATCGTACTAGTTTAGTATTGTCGTATGATTATAAAAAAAAATAAATAAATAAAAGCTCCCCCACCTTATTAAACATCTGTAAAATCTTGATATATATCTTTATTTGTAAAAATCACATAAAAGTTTCCAACAACCAGTTTGATTCTCGATTGGATGCGGTCGTCGTTGTAAACTTTTGCTACAATGCTTTTCTGTTTATTTTGTTCTGCAATAACTGAATCAATTTTGCAATTGAAAGCTAACTGAATACATAAATTTTTTTGATAAAATATATATATATATATGAGGTGAAAATAGTTTTTGAAATTGAAAATCGATGAATGTAATTCTTGAAAATAAATGTTGCAATGGTTATTCCATCGTAATTCTGTAAAAAAATTTGTTATGTGCTGCTTTGGCATATAATTTGGTCTCATAAGTTTAATTAAATATTTTTATGTTGAAATTTAAATACTGAATACACAAATTTTTTGTATAATTAAAAACTTGAAAAAAAAAAGAGTGGAATCTGCGTGGTTGCACAACCCAAACGATGTTCATCATCGAGTGCTCACCTGCCTCTAGTCGGTAGTCGGTGTACATCCAACGTGCCATTTCTGCCTCCAGCTGGTTATTTTCTACAAATTCATTTGGTTTTTGTCGAATCTGTCAACCATTTCGTCAAATATGAGGAAGAACACCGGCATGGAGGAGCCGTGCACGAGGGTCCCTAAGCTTCTGAAGATCATTCGCAGCCAAACGTACTGCAAAGGAGAAGAGCTGGAAAAGGGCAGGTTCTGTTCCTTCTCTTCTCCGCCTTCGGCAATGTCTTCGACTCCGCCGCTGTCTCTGCCTCCGCCACTGCCTCTGCCTCCGCCACTGCAGCAGCTCACCTTGTTATGATAAAAAGGCATAGCACAACGAACCCAACAAAAAGACAAGCTTTAGAATTTGAGATCTAAAGAACCCATCTTTTTTCCTTCCTCTCTCCTTTGTTTCCCCAAAATCCAATGACCACCACCCAAAGCTTTTTATCAAGAAAATGTTTTCTTTGGAGCAACTGAAGGACAACCCACAAGAACACTTGTCTAATACAAATTCAATCTGAAAAAAAAATCAAGGGTGAGAAACTCACTCTCGTATGAAAGAGTGTGACAAGCTGTCAAGGGCGATTTGTTCAAGGTGATCAGTGATGAGGCGTTATTGTATTATATATTTTACCCTAATCTTAGTATTAATTTATTGATTATTTTATTAGAATTTTGATACTTTGTTATGTATTTTCAATGTAGGATATTCGACTTCCTCTAAAGCAAAAAATGATGAAATGGACAAATTTTGGAGTGATTCAAATTGGAGGACGTTCATATATCTCTCAACTTCTTCGTGTCAAAATTTCAGCAATTTCTACCAAGCTGTTATTTTCTAGCAATTAAATAAAGAAACAGTGCGCATTGCTGGAAAGTAACATTTTTGGAGCCCAAGATGATCTCAGATAGGTTCATGGCCTTCTGGAGAAGTGTTCAGGATAGGCCAAGCTTTAAATCCAGCTATTTTGGGCCGGTTTTCGAGCTGATATGGGTCCAAAACATAGCTGTGAAGGAATTTGGGCGAATTTCCAAGTTAATTTAGAATTATGTTTCCTAATTTATTATTTAATTATGAGATGCACAATACTCACTAATTCGCATCGAAATACGAATACCTTATAAGTCTGGTCATACACTCAAAGTTTCTCAGATTGAGCTGCACAAATGGACCAATGATGCCATTATCATTCTATTCTTATAGACTCTTTGACAACTTATGTTTTTTTTATAGGGATATTTTTGGATGCGGTCCTAATCCTTAACATTCTTTGATTAAAACCTTAATAGTATTCAAAGTTTGATCAAGGTCCCTTGACTTTGTACACTTCATTATATTACTATTAATATTTATATTTTTATAGTTTTGACATTAATTGTTTGATATTTTATGAGATTTTATAATCCTATAAAATTTAAAATCCCTCATTATAATATTATTAGAAACGGTTACAATAAAAAATTCAAATATTTTTTGATTGAATAAATGGATAAAACTATATAAAATATAGAAATAATAAATGGCAAAAGAATGTATCCATAGTGTTAAAAAAATTGGTACATTTCACATATAACAAAGTGGTACATTAATAAAGAATAATGGGTACATTAGAAATAAATTAGAGTACAGATAAAAGATTAAAAATTATGAATACACATGAATTGACAATAAACAATGAGGTGACAAAAGAGTCCCCAAGTCTTTCTACAAAATTAAAAAGTTTTTAAGCCCTTCTAGGTCATTGTATTGAGTCCAAAAGGTGGAACCCATACTAATTAATTAGAAAAAAAAAAAAAAAAAAAAAAAAGAAGAGAGGGATTTGAGTTCAATTATCTCCAATGCACATGCCCAAACTGTTAAAATTCAATTTGAGTTTTCAGTCTGATGTTTTCTCCACCAATTCAAAGACTCAAATCTTAAAACTCAAAATAAGTCTTAAGATTTTGAGCCTTTGCATTGGAGAAGAAAACCAAAATACATAAATTGAGACAGAAATATGAAAATATAGGTTCTAGAATTTGAGTCTTTGCAGTGGAGATACTCTGGTTACTTGAGTAAGACCGTTAAAAGTTAAAACATTGATTGAATGGAAAATCCACTCGAGACCAAGATGAGTCTACATTTTTCATATCTTATTATTGTTGGAGAACGAGAAGATAAATAGAGCTTTTGAAACTAGTAAAGAGTTGTTTTATTCGCTCTCACACATTATTAAATACATCTCACACAAAGAATTTAGGGAAATAACTAGAAAAGGACATTTTCTTAATCTTGGGACAGAAATAGGATAAGTTAGCCACGCACAAGCCATGCACAAAATCAAAATTACTAAAATACCCACATATAAATACTAAAAATCATCAGCTCATTGCATTACTTTTTCTCATTTGGAAAGGAGGGATGTCAAGAGAGCTCTGTGAGCTCTACATTTCTGTGTTGAGCTCAACTTTTGAAGTGAGGGAAGTCTAAAAAAAAGGTGAGAAGAGAGCTGAGTTTTGAGTTGACCTAGACCTCTGATTTCGAACAAGGGGATGCGAGAAAGGTGAGAGGAGTGAGTTGGGCTTTGTACCATATTTTTTGTTTTGGCCAGAAAGTTCTATTTTTTCGATTTTGTAACATATTTGAGCTACGTTGAATTCCATATTTCAGAAGCTTGTACAAAGATCGCCGCTCATATCTCTCTCTCATCTATTATCGTCGGATTTAGAAGGTGGGGATCCATGAGATTGGGTTTAAGGCGACGGGTTGGGGAAGGACCCATCAGGAGGGGGGTAATGATCTGATGAGGTTTCTGGTTCTTTATTCCCAGGATCCCTGAATGGCCTTGATGGGGAGGACGAAGTCCACATCCGCCGCTCCGGATTCCAGGTGGGCAGCACCGGTACCCATGTATGTACCTATCAACTTATCACTACTACTTGTTTTGGCTCCCTCCTCTGCTAATATATATCCTTTTTAAGTTTTAATACCCACTACTAACTTGGTCCCATGACTTACAAATGTATTATATGCTTGTAACCAGATCTATACAGTTTATTCTTCATCTATCTAATCTAGATATCCGATATGCATCTCGAAATTGCAGGTGATTGTGAGGAGGAGACAAGCTTGTTGCCAATATGCTGTAACTATATTGATTAAGTAGTTCGGAGAAGACATGCATTACAATTTAGGTCAGTCCATTTGGTTTGTTAGACATGAAAGTCAGAAAGACAAATGTCAGCATCTCACAAGAAGGAATCTAGATATATATGCCATGGTTACATACTCTAGGACCCACCCCTAGGATGCTCTGGCCCGTACCTCTCCAGTCCACCCAAAAGGAAACATATAAGGAGCCATGTATATGCACCCATACTCACGAGTCCAAGGCAACTCAGCTCTAACATCCAAAGCATCTAACTCCAATATGCAACCAAGTGTTATCAACCACATTTAGCTCTTTCAGTCTCATCACTTCGTCCTACAATAAGCTTAATAGTTTAAAACATATTCACAACAAACCAACTACACAAATAAAACAAATATAACACAAGATAAATAATCATACTGATCACTAACGTACACCGCTTTTAGCATGTCCACAAATTGTTCCCATTGCAATCCCATGGCCTTGTCTATCTCGTAATAGGTACCACACCGTGGTCAGAGAAGATAAATGTGTGGTCATATGGCCTACCATACCGTGCGAGTCTCAACCTCGGCAAAACGTGCTGAACCAACTCCTGAACGCTCCCGTGCTCCTTCAAGTGGTCAATGCTCCCCATAAAGTGCTTGTATCCATTGAATGTCAATCGAAACAGCAAAACCTCAATGTACTGTACAATAATTTTATTATCAACTATTGTTTTTTTCTAATAATTCAGGGCAAAAATTTATGCACATTATTTACACCACATTTTGGCCAGCTATTCTTGATTTTTTTTTTCCATTAATCCGATGATTAAAGGAAAAACATGTCCAAAGAATTGTCGGCTAAAATGTGGTGAAAAGAAATGTGCATAAATTTATGCCCTAAATTATTAAAAAAAACAATAACTAATAATAAAATTATTGTACAAGACATTGAGGTTTTGCTGTTTCGATTGACATTCGATGGACACAAGCACTTTATGGGGTGCATTGACCACTTGGAAGAGCACATGAGCGTTCAGGAGTTGGTCTAGCACGTTCTGCCGAGGTTGGGACTCGCACGATATGGTAAGCCAAATGGCCACACATTCATCTTCTTTGACCACGGTGGTACCTATTACGAGATAGACGAGGCCATGGGGTTGCAATTGGAGTGGTTTGTGGACATGCTGAGAGCGGTGTACGTTGGTGATCAGTATGATGTAAGTATTTATCTTGTGTTATATTTGTTTGATTTGTGTAGTTGGTTTGTTGTGAATATATTTTAAACTCTTAAGCTTATTGCAAGAGGAGGTGATGAGATTGGAAGAGCTAAATGTGATTGAAATCAGAGAAGATAGCACCTGGTTGCATATTGGATCGGCCTTTATGGCAAGTTCTGTTGCAGAGTTGGAGTGAGGTGTTTCGGATGTTAGAGCTGAGCTGCCTTGGACTCGTGAGTATATGTGCATATACCCTGCTCGTGATATGTTTACTTTTGGGTGGGTCCTGGAGTATGTTACCATGGCATATATATCTAGATTCCTTCGCTTGTTCCATCATTGACATATTTTGCTAGTGCTGAGTGAGATGCCAAGTGAGGTGCTGAGTAGTGAGTGCGGATGCTAACTTTTGTTTTTCTAACTTTCCTCCAAGTCCAATTCTAGGAGTTAACAAACCAAATGGCCTGACCTAAATTGTAATGCATGTCTTCTCCGAACTACTTAATCAATATAGTTAAAGCATATTGGCAACAAGTTTGTCTTCCTCCACACAATCACCTGCAATTTATAGATGCGTATCAGATATCTAGATTAGATAGATGAAGAAGTAACTGTATGAGATGTTAGTGGAGAAAGAAAACTGTATAATTAATCCCCAGAAACAGATAGAAAAACGTACCTTGAGAATATTCATTCTCGAAAGATATTTTATCCCCATGTTCTTGCTCTTCATTTGATCCACAAACATTCTCTTCCCCACCGTACGTAATGTGCAGAAATCCATCTTCGCCCTTATTTTGCTCATCAATTTCATAAAACAAAGCACCTGTAACATTGCATAATTGATTACAATCTTAACTTTTGGAACTTTTGGAACAACATATGATGCATAAAAGAAAAAATGAGCTGCCACTCACCAAGGGGAGGCTTAGTGTTCTTGAAAGAGACAAATATTGGCTTTTTTTGGCTTATCCTGATGCTAACCCGAATAAATAAGATGAATTCTCCAAGAGTCATTTTACCAGGGACATGGTATCTGCAGTCAAAACCAAGATAGGCAATGCTGCTATGTAAAAACCCCTTTCATTTGTGACAAGCTATGAACACAAATGAACTTTCAATTTACCTATGCAGCAATCGATACATTTTCCTTTCAGTATGAAAATTCTATGGACTATATTTATGGTAGGAAGCTATCCCTAATTTGGTAACCAATTCTTGCAAACATTGTTAATCAAGAGTATTCCTAACCGCTCATTAAACTCTTAGCGATCAATTCATAACAGTACTTCGTATCTGTGTGCGTATAGTCTTTGCATGTAGATTTAAAACTCTCACAATAATAACATAACAGGTATTGGGAATAATTTCAACAAAATTCTAGCTTTTCATTTCCTATTTTTTCCGTGACCCATATCATGAAATATGTCAAAAGCATAAAGGGAATGGAAACAGTCCTATACTCTTGCAGCAATACAAGTCAAGATAACTAGAGCACAAGGGAATTCAAAACTCACTTCTTCCTGTCAATTTCAGGAATATCACTCCTAGCGTCCTTCTCGACAGCCACCAACATGCAGGCTCAAATTAGAACAGAGTACATCCATCTACTGAATGCATACAAAGTAAACATATCTGAATGCAGTTAAATTCTTACAGGTATTAAAATTGCGCAGGTCTTCCTCAAATGCCAGGCATCTATCATAAGCATAAAACAGACAAATACCAATCAGATTCCACCGTAGCAAATAAAAATCAAGATAAGTAAAGCACAAGGGAATTGACAACTAACCACATCCCATCCTTAGTATTAAGGTCAGTCCTCACAACCTTGTCCACGAGTACATGTATCCACAGAATACATAGGACATAAAACATATATGAGTCGGTGAAGTTCTTACCAGCCCGTTATTCCAAGGGTCTAAAACTGTAATGGGTTTTGTGATCTTACTACAACACTTGTCTTTTCCTCTTCCTTGTTGCTGACGAATTTCTGAAAACATATCAAAAGCATAAATGAACTGGTTTGTAGCAATACAAAGTTTACAAAACCAAGATTTTAAAGCTGAAGAACAGACTTCTTCTCTATGTTGTCGGGAATGTCAACCCTCCTTGGAGATTCCATCACAACTATCTCATCGAGTGAAATGATCACTTGTTTCCGAGGGGCATTGTTCTCTTCTGCTTGCGCCACTTTGAAAGCGTGACAGATTTGAAACAAAACATATTAGAAAACAAATAAATTTTTTTCCAAAACAAACCATAATCTATGAAATTTCGACCTAATCTTCACAGACCAAATACTAACATAGGCAAATTGGGAACTGCATAAAGTATATAATTAGCGCACCCCAAGAGAGAGAGAGAAGGAGATAAATACAAACCCTGGGGAAATTCGTTACTAGGGGAGCTGTTGGCCATGGAGAAACTCCCAATTTGACTGTTCACTGCCAGTTTTCAAAACAACAAAAATCAAAACCGCATGCCGAATTTTCAAACCAGAAATTAACTGACAGCATCAAACATAAAAATTTAGGGTAAGGATTGATTGACCGAAAGCTGGGAAAACAAGGAGGGCCAATTCAATCAATTTACCCAAATTGGAACCCCAATTTAGGTTTTGGCCCTCTTTGATTGCATTCGGAGAGCGAATTATTGAAGAAAGAAGGTCATAATCATCATCCTCACCCCCCTTCATTGCCAAAGCCTCATCTTTACATTCCTTCAGATTGAACAGTTCTTTTCAATTGTGCCAACAATTTTTTCTGCTGCTCATCGGTTTATTGTAAGATTTAAAAACGATAAAAGAAGAACTAAGTTTGATATACGAATGAGGATGGATATAAGGTTTATATGGACAAAAAAAGGTTGAGATTTTGGACAATGTCACGTGGCACTACGTGATTGGTTAGAAATTTTATCAAATTTTTGATCAAATTATTGTAAAGAGATAGTGACATGCGGGATTGGTTGAAAATCTTATCGGAAATCTATTAACAAAATAGTACGTTCAGATAATGACACGTGGCGTGACAAGATTGGTTGAAAATCTTATCAAAATCTTAGCTAAATTATTGTAAACAGGTAGTGACATGTGACGCGTCGAAATTGGTTAAAAATCTTATCGGAAATCTATTCACAAAATTGTAC